ACATGCTGCTGGAGCGCAGCGCTGGGCTGGTGCAGCGCTGCTTGGAGGTGAAGGGCCGCTGGAGCTCAGCCTGGCTTTGGCGAGCAGTCCAGCTTCTTCTTCTTCTTCTTCTTCTTCTCCTTCTACTTTCTCTCCCCTCTGGTCTTTATCTCTTTGCAAGTGCTTTCATTTCTTTCGCAATTGGGTGGCGTTGTCTTTCATTGTGAATTTGCACTTGGGAAATGACCAGGATCGTAACAATTGGCGTTACTTGCTGGCGGACGTACTTGCTGGCGAGAGGTGTTAGTCACCCTAACCCTAATTCCGAATTAGGTTAGGGCAAACCTAATCTCGGATTAGGGTTGGAAGTTAGGGTTAAGTGGGGCAGTGAGGTATGATTGGAGTAAGCGAGAGGGAGTAGAGAGTGAGAGGTACTCCCACCTGGAATCTGCACTTCAAGAAGACATTGAGTGACTTTTGGGCTTCCCCTCAAAAGGGAGACTTGATCGGAGGCTGCCATATCTGCATCGGATTGCTGCAAGTTGCTACTTTGGTCTTCAGACATCGACGGGGGATCCGGCTTAGCAACAGGGGTGTAGGAAGGCCCTCTTAGTCATGCTAGGACACTTCGTGTAGTGATAGCTAGGGGTCAGGAGGACTTATGAGAGAGGGGGGTGACTCGTTATCCATCTTTGGAGCCCGGGCCTCACAGTTAGTGCCGTGTGACCTGGTTATGCCCGTGGGAGGTTGTTTGGTACTTCATGGCCTGTTGGGGGTGTGCTGGGCTCTCTTCCTCTTCTCTGCGGTCTTGGTTGTGTGTGTGAGCATGTGGATTGCTTTCTCACCTGATGGATGGATGGATGATGTATCTATTCTAAATGACATATCTTTCTACGGTGCATTGTCTTTTCATTTATGAACGGCTGTAGGGGTAAGTTCTTGCTGAAAGTTGTCTTTTCCTTTTCAGTACGGTAGAGGCAGTTTGGGACCGATTTGGCACCCCTATCACGTTGGTCCTGGTCCACGACCTACTTGGGACCCCTCGGGACCCAGTGGGACCAGGCCCAACGGGACAGGACCTTTTCGGCCCAGATCCGTTGCCGCCAGTGCATTTCTCTGCTGCGCTGAACTTGGGGTACATACGGCAAGCAAGGGCATTCCTTTCAAGGGGATCTTGACTGGTCTTACCGCCTGTTATCACATACTGCCCCGCGTCTGACTCGGCGACCGTCTGCACCCCTCGAAATCTCCATTGCTGCAGTTAGCTTTCTTCGGCTGAGTTATTGTGATCCATGTCCCTTGTCAAGGTAGACAAGAGGGGATCTCCAGCTAATCTGATCGGGCCCATTCTATAAACCAGTCCTCTCTTCCGTTTTATTTTCTATTTATTTAGTTTATTTTTTATTCCGCTGCGTGCCATTCTCTGAGTCCAAATGAATCGCCGCTCCGGCTAGGAGTTCTACCTTCTTCTTTGTGTGATTTTCTGCTTGTTTCTTTCACCTGAACTATCTATGTCCAGTATCGAGACGCGTGCGCAGACAGCTGAGAGAGAGAGAAGGGAGAGAGAAGGTGTTCTGTTTGAGAGTGTGAGGAGGGGCAAGAGGAGTGTTCGTCCAAACGTAAGGAGAGAGCGAACCCCTCTTGAGAGATCTATTGACACCCCTTCCTCCGGCATGGTGAACATCACATCTGCCCAATGGCAGGCCATGCTGGATGCAGCAGATGAGAGCGAGAGACCGTTCTTCCATAAGCTTTTTGATGATGCCGTGCAGAGGGAAAGGGAGGCAGCGGCAGCAGCCAGAGCTGCCAAAATTGCTGATCAGGTGGCCCTCTTTCGGATACCGGAAGCCAATGCTGACCGGTTCCAGGAGGGACTAGCTGCTGCCGTAGCAGCCTTGGTTCGACTGCGGACCTTGGAAGACCTTGAGTCCCGTGTGACAGCACTAGAGCAGCGAAACCAAGAGCTGCAGGCTGAGCTACTCAGCCTCAAACAGTCCCAACTGTCTGCCCCCCACCCTCCTAACCCTCGACCTGTTGCAGTCCCAACCTCTCAATCTAACACAGTCCTCGTGGCAAGAGCCAGTGGAACTGTGACGAGCGCAGGAACCGGTGCTAGCTCCTCGAGTGGCAGCGCCGGCAGCTCTGCACTAGTCATAGTCCCAAGTGCAGGGACATCAGCCCAAAACGCCACAGTCCTTACTGGCGTTCAGTACAGCGGTCCCGTAGTGGACAAGCGGGCGGCCACCTTGCCGTCCAAGTATGACGGGAAAGCGGACATCACCTCTTGGATTAGTTCCATGCGGTCCTACTTCGAGGTCATGCGGACACCGCAAGAGGACCGAAGTATGATCATGGGGACTAATATTGAGCCCGCCGTACAGAATCACATTGAGCTCCAAGCTGTTGCTGCAGGTTATGAACGAATTGATTTGACAGAGTGGCTGAAGGTAACCCCTGTACGCACCCTTGAGGACCTTCTCCTCGCACGGTACCAAGACAAGCATGCTGCGCTCAAGACTAGGATGAAGCTTGAGGCCCTCAAGGGCCAAACATGGAGGTCCTCCAGGCAGGTTTTGGAACAGCACTTGACTGGTCTGTTCACCACTCCTGATCTGGGAATGACTGACGTGTCTTGCATGGATGTAGTCATGGGAGTGGCCCCTAAAGAATACCTCTCCCTGCTAGGACTCAAAGACCATACTACCTGGCGAGAGCTCATGAAGGATCTAGTCAACCTAGAGGCCAAGGACCTCGCCAGGTGTAAGAAGGCGCCCGCTGCAGGTGGGAAACCACAACGCAAGCGGTTTGGAAGCAGCAACCAGCTTGCACTGTATGATCATTGGGAGGCTGAAGATCAGTCTTATGAGGATGATATGTCTCTAGATGACGATCTACAGCCGGACTCCGATATGGGCTGTTCCACATCAGCCATTGAGTCTGACGTCAACGAAGATGAAAAACTGAATGCTTTTAGAAAGACTGCTTCAAACAAGGGGCCCAACCGTGGTTCGGGTAAGGGAACTGTTGTCCACCTCCCTAAGAATGCGAGGATCCTTGAGAAACCGGAGGATGCATCTACCAAGCCTTGGGAAGCCCTCGGTATCAGTCAGAAAGAATGGGAAAGAAGATCTAAACTGCGCATATGCCTGCATTGTCAAAAGCCTGGGCATGCTGTGCAGGACTGTTTTCGACTGCAGGGAAACAAGCAAAGGGCGTAGAGGAGTCCTCAACACTCCCTACAACAACGGAAGTTGGAACATCAGTTGCAGGCCCCTCCGATGAGCCTGAATCTTATCAACAGCCCACTCTTGAAGCCCGGAACGACGTTGAATCCAAGGCTGCTGCAATTCATGTGCTTTACACTGAGCCTTGGGAGGAGTCTAAGGAAGTTGACTTCCACGCTCACATGGAACACTGGCTGCAACTCAAGCAGCAACGTCGTGTTCAAGGGAGTGTGGAGCTAACCTTCTTTAAACTGCTCATTAACCGCCGTTACATCCGCGTGCTGATTGATAGTGGTTCAACCACTAATTTCTTTTCTCCTAACGGGATTCGTAAGGCGGGCCTGGGAATGAAGCAAGTGGAACTGCAGAACCCTTGTCAGACCCAGGTGGGCAACCAAGAGGTTGTCACCTCTACACATGCTGTCAAAGGTGTGCGCGTCGCCTTTGACAAGGACCGCACTGTCACACATGAGCTCAACTTCTATGTCATGGACAAGTGTCCGTTCGACGCGGTCATTGGCTTGGGCTGGTTAAAGGCTCATTGCCTAAGGACCACGTGGGCGGACAATCAGTTCGCGGTGCGTGATGCCAAGGGGAACGAGCATACTGTCCTATTGGATGAGACGTGCGAGTCCCCTGTGACTCTTCTAAGTGCAACCAAATTCTGCAAATCAGTGCGCAGGCGCAAGGAGATTGAGCATGTACATGTAGCCTTTGTAAAGCCTATCCATGGGCCTTCTACTTTTGCTGCGTTTTCTACCTCGGTAAGTAACTCTATTTCTAACACCTCTGCTTCTAATCTATCTGCTTCTACTGTGAATAATCCTTCTACTTCTAATCCGGTCGTCATTGCTATAAATTCTCAGTCTAATTTTCTTTCTCTCTATTTCTACCACCTCTGCTTCTAATCCATCTGCTTCTACTGTGAATAATCCTACTTCTAATCCGGTCGTCATTGTTGTAAATTCTCAGTCTAATTTTCTTTCTCTTGATGAGGATGATCCTCCACCGGAAGTCCCAACGAATATTCGCCAGCTATTAGATCGATTCCCTGAAGTTTTGGCCGAACCTCGTGGAGTTCCCGAGCGTCCGGTCAAACACAAAATCGAGATAATAGAGGGGAGTGTTCCTCCAAGGGGCCGCGTCTACCGTATGGGACAAGGCGAGTTGGAGGAGTTGAGAAGGCAGATTGATGATATGATTGACCGTGGATGGATTAGGCCCAGTGAGTCTAAGTTCGGTGCACCTGTCTTGCTTGTGCCAAAGAAAGGAGGCAAACTCCGAATGTGTATTGACTATCGTGGCCTTAATCGGATTACAAGAAAGAATGCTTACCCCTTGCCTCGCATAGATGATATGCTAGATGCGGCAGGTGGGTGCAAGCTCTTCTCCAAGATCGACCTCAAATCTGGTTACCACCAGATTGAAGTTGATCCGAGTGACCAGCACAAGACTGCATTCAAAACACGCGATGGGCTGTACGAGTTCATCGTTATGCCCTTCGGTCTTATAAATGCACCGTCCACATTTCAGTGCCTCATGGACAAGGTACTTCACCATCAACTCAACAGGTTTGTGGTTGTGTACCTAGACGATATCTTGATCTTCAGCAAAACCATGGAAGAGCACCTCAAGCACCTTGAGGAAGTTTTGCAGGTCCTCAAGGAGGCGCAGCTGCACCTCAACTTAGAGAAATCTGAGTTTTGGAGGGACAGCGTCATCTATCTTGGACACCGGTTGTCTGCAAACGGCCTTGAGCCGGAGGCAACCAAGGTTGAGGTCATCCGAAACTGGCCTCAACCGACAAACGTACGCAAACTGCGTTCTTTTCTTGGTCTGGCCTCGTATTACCGGAAGTTTGTGCCCAAATTCTCTGTCATTGCTCACCCTCTCTCAAGACTAACCAGCAAGAATGTTGCCTATGCATGGTGTGCGAAGTGTGAGACTGCATTCCAAGCCTTGAAAGAGGCATTGGTGAGTCATCCTGTGCTTCACATTGCCGATCCCAACCTCACGTTCGTAGTCACTACGGATGCTAGCCAGTTCGGGATTGGTGCTGTGCTGCAACAAGATGATGGTGATGGCCTGCATCCGCTCGAGTACTACAGCAAACGCATGCCCAGCCACAAGGTAGCCACTTCCACATATATGCGTGAGCTCTACGCCCTGCGCGAGGCCCTCGCACATTGGAAGCACTACCTCTTGGGTCGCCACTTCAAGGTCTACTCAGATCATCAGACCTTGCAGTGGATTCAGACACAATCTGAACTCTCTCCTACATTGACCCGCTGGTTGCGTGACATTGATGTCTACAGCTTTGAATTGAAACACAAGAAAGGCTGTTATAACCGGGTTGCTGATGCGTTGTCTCGCTATCCTGAATTTTTGACTTGCCTAGTGAGTTCGTATGACCTCCGAAGGAAACTGAAGGAGGATCTGGTCGAACACACCGCCAAGGATCCTGACCTTAGTCCCATCCTTGAGCAGGTAAAGGCTGACCCTAACAGTCAGCCTGATTTTCATGAATGCGAGGGTCTTGTGTTCCGCCGGTATGGGAAATTTGATCGTTTGTGTGTACCCAACCATGCGCCTCTCCGAACTCATTTCTTGGATTTGGCACATGGTCGGAAAGGACATTTCGGCTTTGAGAAGACTTATGGAAGTCTTCTGCAGCAGTTTGATTTGCCAGGAATGAAAGGATCTGCTCAAAAATTTATTGCTAAATGTTAGGTATGCCAAAGAACCAAGGTCCACAGGCATAAGCCTTATGGCCTGCTGAGACCCCTCCCCATTCCTGATGGACCCGGTGAGTCGATTTCCATCGACTTCACGGACATGGGAAAGGTGAGTGAGGCAGGAAATTCACAAGTCATGGTCATCGTGGACCGCTTCTCCAAATTTATGAACTTGATTCCTTTCCCTCCCCATGCCCCAACTGAACTTGTCATCGAAGAATTCCATCAGCAGTACATTCTGCAGTTTGGCATCCCGAAAACTATTGTGAGTGATCGGGACACCAGATTCATCAGCAAAGATTGGAAGGACTTTACCTCTCAGATCTATGACATTAAACTGAACAAGACTTCTGGTCGACACCCCGAAGCCAATGGTTTGGCCGAGGAGATCAACCAAACTGTCATCCAACTACTTCGCGCATTGATTGTTCCAGATCAGAACAAGTGGGACAAGGAGCTGCACAAAGTGAAGGGACTGTATAACAACTTCATCCACTCTGCAACTGGCGTGACACCAAACCAGTTGCAATTTGGATGGTCGATGCGTAATCCCCTCCTATTTGTTCCCTGAACGGTCACCTGGTCTGATGCCCGGCATGCTTGGCTACAATGCCAAGTACGCACGCTTGCTCAAAGCTGTTATTGAAGCCATGAACAAGCGCCAACATGCCATGATCAAACATGCTAACAAGTTGCGCAAAGAAGAAAAATTCAAAGTAGGGGTTTATGTTTGGGTTAAAATGTCTGAGTTTTCTGATGAAGAGGGCATATCACGAAAAATCCTTCCATTGTACTATGGCCCTTGGCAGATTTTGAAGGTGGTTGGGGATGATTTTGGTCCTTCATATGTGATTGACGTGCCTCCTCATCTGCGCACGTATCCGGTCTTTCACGCGTCCAAACTGTTTCCACATATTGATGATGAGACGTTTCCCTTCCGAGACCCTATGATACCTCGCCCTATCGACGACGACCATGAGATAGACAGAATCGTTTCTCACGAGGCAAGAGGGAGGAACACACAGTACAAGGTTCACTTCCTCTATCACCCGTTGACTGAGTTCTTCTGGATCGACCGAAAAGAGCTGCTAAAGAGTGCTCCCCGTGTTGTGAACGCTTATGAACGACAGATCGCTGAGGGACAGCCTGCTAAATTTGTTGCGACCATGACTCCTCACGGACTTACTAAGTCCCTCCTTCTGATTTACTCTTATGATGCATTTTGTGCCGACTCTGAATGAGTTACTCGCTCGAAGGGACCTCGCTCTTGAGAGGGGGGTAATGTAATGACCCGCCAAAAACACAAACTGAGAACACTGCTGATTTCTGGGATTTGCCGCTG